ATATATATATATATATATATATATATTATATGTTTAATGGAGCAAATTTATTAATTATCTTATACAGAGATAAGAAATTACATAACATAATTATATAACATAATTTAGTATAAAATAATACATTAGTATAAAATAATACCTTACATTACATATTATAATATGTAATATGTAACTATATTAATAAAATTAATATAGTTAAAAATTAAAATATATTACTCTAGTTTTGTTACTCTAGTTTTGTTAATTACTAAATTAACAATTAAAGTAGATAACGATCTCGAACTTATGCAGTTCGATTCTTATAGAAATCAAATTCTTAAATTCTTATAGAAATTAATAGAAAATTATTCCAAAAACTAAAAGGATAGTTAAAAATTATGATATAAAAGTTATGATATAAAAATAAATTGTTAAATTACTTTGGTTTTGTTTATTAAATATTTATAATTTTTTACCTTACCAAGTCGAGTAGTTGGCCTGTCTTATGTATATGGTAGATAATATTGTAATGACAATTCAATCTGTAGAAGATGAGAACGCTACCTATGTTTGACCGTACGAACAAACATTATTTGTTGTCAGAATTCTCTTTATTGCAAAATCGTCTGTGTGAAACGCTTTCTCACTTATTTTACAAACAAGAATCTATTTTAGATATAATTACTTTTCAATAATATAAATTTTTTACTGATTACTTTTTGTAACATATGTTTGTTAGAAATTCAAATTTGCTTTGGTTTAAATGGAAAAGAAGGGGAGAGGAGGAGGTCTTCTTAATTGATTAAGTTTCTTTTTTAATTTTTTAAATTATATTTGCTGTTTGTTTCTCTTAGATCAGAAAAAGCAATAAAGAAAATTTACATAGATTTATCTAAAATACTTTACATGAATAGAATTAAAAGCCAATTTAACTTTAAAAGCTATCATATATGTTTTAACATGTTTACGTATGTTTTATTATATACATTTTTTTATTTTATAATATTTATACAATTTTCTGAATTGATTTTATTCGAAATTTTTTCTTCAACTATGTGTTGCTTCTTTGATTAAATAAAATTAATATCAAATTGACTATATTTTAATAATATATAAATCTTTTCTATATAGTATAATATGTGTTTGACAATGTTGCGTTGCAAATTTATCGTTTTGAGATACAAAACGAATGAAATGTTCATTTATATTTGACCTACAACACATAAGTGCATTCAACAATATATTAATTATTTGCGAGATATGTTCTTAATGCATTAATGTAAATATTTAATGACAGTTGAATATATTAAATTAATAGAATCAACAATATGTGCAAATTTATGCATTAATACGCGGACATTAACACATATATGACAAATATACTCGAAATAATCGGCTATTAAACAAAGAATTTTTTATATTATAAGACACGTATAGCTAAATAATTTTGTGCGTGTGTTTGATCCACATGATATAAATATTAATTTATAACAATAATTTAGTGTGTACTTCTATCATTATCGAGACGTTTTGGATAATTTTTAAATAATCTGATGATTTTCGAATTTTGTCAATATATATATTTATATTCGTATTACAATCCATTATAATGGTCAAAGTACATAAGCAACGGTAAAATTAATTATATAAGAAATATTGAGTTTATCAACTTATCTTAAATATAATATTTATATACATATACATGTAAATTATAATTTGCATGTTATATTATGTAATTCATAAATTTGTATAAACTATAATATATGTTTATAATTAATACAATAATATATATTTATATTTTATAAATTTACATATTTATAATTTATAGAAATTTATAATGTTATCATTTATAACATACTTTAAATTCTAATTTAGGAAATATGATTTATCGTTTTTTAACTGAAGATTTAACATTTGAAATTCGTTATTGATTTATTATGTACAACATTATTTCTTTGTACTAGAACTAATGATAAAAAATTATTTATAAGAACGAAACGTTCGAAATAAGATATGTATTTTAATTTTACTCATGTGAACAGTTACATATTTATAAATATATTTATTTATGGCGTATGTTATCGATACTAAATAAATAAATATTTTATATTACATTATATTAAATTTTAAATTTCAAATATTAGTTGTGTCTTCAGTTAATTAAAGTTTATGAAATGTATATGCATTTAATTTGATACTTAGTTGTCACGTATATATTTAAAAATAATAAGAATATTGTTTATATTTGGGATTCACTTCGCAGGTTGTCATTTTAAATCGATTTTATAGATTAGTTAGTAACTTCTGTATGTAATAATTTTTGTCATTTTAAATCGATTTTATAGATTAGTTAATAACTTCTATATGTAATAATTTTTGTCCTCTTAATTAATTACCTGTTGTAAAAACAAGTTAATTATTGTATTTTTTAGATGTATTTTTTAAGTATAAGAAATCGATAGATATAAAATAGATAATTTTAGAAAATTTTATAATTATCTATATAAAATTCTGGTAGATTAGTTATAAAGTTAATTTGATATTACTTGATATTACAAATATTTAAAATTGTATATAAATCATGAGTTTAAATATTGTATTATGCTAAATATGTTTGATACGTTCCTTAAATTTGATATAATAAAAAAAATAAAAATTGATGTATTATAATGATATAATAACGAATATGTATTAAAACTGATATATTATAATAATGAATATATGTAAAATAAATTTGTTTTTATACGGTTTATGGAGAAACAATAAGCAATTCGCGTCGATATCTTATTGTTAGTAAATATTATATAGAATCTAATTATTAAAAACAAAAAATTGAAGTTTTAAGAGTTTTAGAGTCTAAATTGAAAACTTGAATTTTTAGAAATGATTTTTATTTTATGTAAAAAAAACGCTTCCTGAAATACTATCGTCAGAAATAATAATTGTGTTTATACATTGCATACATTGTTTCTTACTTACGGGTTCAATAAATTGTATTCCTCCGTTTATTTCATGTCTTACAACAGGTTCAATACGATCTCTACGAAAATATCGACGCCAAACGTTTCTTATGTTTCTTTCTCTATTATTGATGTAGGTCCTCCAAGCTGC